AAGTTACAATAATAACCCATGTAAACTAAGATCAACTGCGATCGGCTGTGAAAATTATCTGCTGAAAGTAAACTTGTAAGTTTGTTTGTCCGAATTTCGCCTTTGTCTTCGTTTTTATGACGTCACGGCTGCACTGCGCTATTGGACTCGGCCTACGGCCTCATCCAATTTTGGAAGTCCTCGGAATTTTCCTCGTCCAATTATTTCTTAATTGGACAGCATGGAGTCCTATTACATGTACTAATTGTGACTTTTGCTTTCCAATTATAAGGTTTTATTTCTTTTAAATCTTAAGTCTTAGTTCTTACGTTGTATCGAGCACACGATTTCTCTTTCATTTTGACTAGACGCATGTAACTGTACTCACTCGGACTTCCTGATAACATTCGAGACAAGTACTGAAGAACACATAGATTATCTCCTTCGCAACGTTTGAGTAAAGACGGTACAAGACGTAAGCGATGTAAGAGTCTCACGACCTTATCGCGATTAAATCGTTATATACTCTTAGTTGAGCCTTCGCTTTTAAACCAGCGGCAAAGAGAGCACATGCACCTTAGAGCCCAGAGGATCAAAAACCTTTTTCACCTACGCGCGCCGATTGGTCGAAAACTATGCTTTATTTGTGAACGGAGCACAGTGCTGACGGCATCATCCGCGCGCGCGAAGTGCTGTTCAGAGATCCTGCGACCGTCTTTCTTTTTGGCGTAAATAAATTAAATACCGAAATGAAATTGGTAGTTATATAATAAAACGGATAAAACAGCTTTTTCTGTGCTCCATTCAGTAACAAAGCACTTAGGAACGGCCGTTAGCACTAGCTCAAGAAGAGTGAGAAGCACTTGCCTCTCTTTACATTACTTTCGTGCTAACGTAACTTCCTGCGTGCTTTATTGCTGAACGGAGCACGAGAAAAGCTGTTTTAATCCTCAATTCCTCATCAACATTGTTATAAAATATTATGAAGCGTACATTAATTTTGGTTTTTAAAATTACTTCAGCTTTGCAATGGAAATTAGTCTTCCTGTATCAATGATTGTCGTTGCAAGGCGTTCCCCAGATGTCATGTGTTAAGTTGCTGGATGCGGGCAGTCACTTGCAAGGCAGCAGACTTTGTAGATGGGACATGATACGTGTACTATGATCTACAGCAGACGTTCTACAATAAAGGGGTGAGTGTTTATGTGCTTGCTGTTATACATGGTCATTGTAAGAAATCCCACATGGTTCATCGTGCGGGTGCATGTTATAATTATATTTCACAAACTCCGTTCGAAATATATGAGAAAACAATAGGTAGAATCCTGCCATTTGTGCTTCGGACCACATTTTAACGCACTCCACTCCCCTAGAGTTTAAATATTGATGACGTAATCCCAGAATCCCGTGCTGCACTAAGTGCGAAGTCACATAGTACTTTTCATCTTTTTCTGCTGTGCTTCGGACGTAC